TAAAGTTGGTTTTATATTAGCACATTCTGACTTTCTCCTTAATAATATAAGTTCAGAAAAGTATTATTTGCTACTTATGAAAAGCAAAATCATATTAGCAGCCAATGACCCAATATTCAAAGTAACGTACTACGGTAAACAATATTGGGAGCATGTCTCATGTTGTCACTGAACCAATATGCGAATATAAAACTACTGTTACCTTTATTGTGTTTATTATATAATCGTGTTTTTTTTTTTTTACTTTTTGTAAACTAATGTAAAGCTTCTTGATTCCTTTATGAAATTTAACCTTGCTTTCACTTAAATCAAGGTTATGGTAACCACAAAATGAAGATAAAAATTTGCTCACTATTACTCATCCTAAACTGGTCCCAAATCTTTATGATTCTCTTTATTCAATTCTTACACAAAAAAGTATATCTTGAAGAAAGTGGGAAACCAGTAAACACTGAGTTGCATAGCCTGGGCAAATGATGCTTGACAAAGCATACACTAAGCAAACACTCTGCAAATGCATGATCATGTCTTGTTTTTTTTAAAAATATGCTCTTTTGCACCACTCAGGACCTGTTCACACCTTGTATTAAGATGAGTTTTTCTTGATCTGGGGTCCGTTCTTTATACCTCGCTTAAATCATCTAAGATGATTTGACCGATTCTGGATGTTTTAATCTTAATCACTGATCTCTGGCTAATTTAGATTTTCAAACAAGTTTGTGATTCAGCCTAAAATGTCTGGATGAACTGATCTGAGATTGCTGCGTGTGTTGTGAAGGACTGATCTATCAATCCTCGAAATCATGATCAGCAATGCAACGATTGGCTGACGGCACAGCAAAGTAATGACATCATTTGATTAATATTCAATTAACCCTGTGAGCAAAATTACATAAAAGTTGTAGTTTGTTAAATATGATACGCAATGAGTTTACACATTTGTTTTGGGCTGCAAGCACACACTTTTATGTGTCAAGAGTATTTAGCAATTTATTTTGTTTTCAGTTAGAGCCAATTTTTTTTATTATAGTAGCCTTGGCCTACTCAAGTTTCTTAATAAATGGCTGATTAATAATCAGATCTAATTCTGTTTATATGAAATAAGCTGCTGTTCCTGAGCAAGTTTGAGCTACCAGAACTGTTTCTATGACAACAATTCTAGGATGAGTTTTGAAGAACGAAACGACCCTGGATTTTGTCAAATCATCAATTACCAAATCCAGCTAACTGAGTAATCCACGTACGAAGAACGGACCCTTGATCACAAGTGGACAAATGAATCACATTACGGTTGACACCAGGCATTTGAATGTGTTTCTTTTGTCCACTTTCAACCACTTCTGTTATGAGGCAGGGTCTGCGGGTGGGTATTGTTTTTATTCTGATATTTCAAACTAATGCTGTTACAACAAGCACCATTTTTATACTGCAACCCCAACAAAACAAAAAAAAAAAAATTTAAATGAAAATATTTAAAAGTATCAGATTCAGAACGGTTAAACATGCTTTGTGAATAGGCTATATATGCATTGACTAATGAAAGTAGAATTGTTTTCTTTTATTTCAGTCATGTTTATTCAGTTATATTTTATGCATGGGCTGGTATGAGTTTCTGACGGTATGATAACCTCATACCTCAAACATCACGGTATCACTGTATAGTGATTACTGCTCTAAAATAAGTTCTTTTTAAATGTCTGGGTAAAAAAAAATTCCCCCCATCGAACACAATAGAATTTATTTTAGCAACCATTTTTAATATTTTGCAACTGTAAACATGTCAGGCTAAATAATTATAATAAATCATTAACTTCTGCTCTCTTCATTAGTTTCAAAAACGCTGATTTCTTTACAACACATAAACCCCCCACCTCACCCCAATGTATGGTTGCATGCTAATGTTTACCTGAGTAAAATCTGTGAATATTAGGATGCTGTGTCGTTGAAATCTATGGAATCTATGGAATCCTGCTAGATTTGCCACATTCGACATCATGCTCCAAGGCAACACCATTATTTCTGTAGCTGTAGGCGCCAACCTGCTTAATTAGCTAGTTGTAATAGATTTTTATTCAGTATATGGATAATGATTTAGTTTTGGATGAATCTTTTGAATTACTATTTAGTAAGTATACTGTAGTTTAAAATCTCGCCAGTGTTTCCGGTTGAAATGTTGTTATAAGGGCTTAAAATTTATGGAATTTCACTCTCTGATTCCTGTATATACTCTGTTCTGAATGGCAGGTGTAATCTGAACCTCAGTTTATTGTAGGACATTTTTCTGCTCTAACCCTCCTTTTTAATCCCTGTGTATGTAGACATCTGCTAACCCTGTCGCATCCTTATGGATCCTGGTGAGAGTGATCTTGATTCAAGTTTTCCTCAGACAGAAAACCCCTGCCTCATAGTTGAGGACTCTCAGCCTGACAGTGTGGCCCTGGAGGACGATCCTGACACCAGCTACTGTGCCCTCCTCGCACGCCGCCTCTCCAACCTGCAGCCCACATCGCAGAGCCCAGTGCTGGTGAGATATCAGATGTATGTGAGTATAGCTTCATTAAAAACTCCTCAAACTGATGCATGTGCCTTTGCAGGAGCTGATTTCCTCCCCTACTAAAAGTTGCTGTTTACAAACTGGCAGTCAGATTGATAAGGGTGGCAATACAGCCCATTCAGGTGGGTTTATTACGTTATGGATAGGGGATCTTACTTTTATTTGTTTGCATGCTTTACAAATGGTGTTTGATTTGTTACAGACAATTTGCAGAACAATCTTGGGTCAGCAGCTACTGAGCATAGTCAAGTGTTTGAAGTTTGCTCTCTTCCTGTTTCTAAAAGGTACTTAAATATTAGACCGATAATGACATATGTATTTTATTTTGATAAGAAGGTTATGTTATAAAATTTTAAATTTCTTTATTTTTGATATTTCTTTGTTATTTTTTTTTCATGCAGAACTGTAACGGAGCACATGGAGTCTGAGGCTAACTCTACCACACACTGTACAGAGGCACATGGTAAAATACATGTTTTTTTTAAAAGGTAGTTGTATATGTTAATATTTAAAATTGGAATCTATTACGTTTTTTTACTTTAATTAAGGTGTTAATTTTGTATTATTTTTCATTTGCTTTTTTAATTATATTTAGTTTATATTTTAATTTTATTTTAGAAATAATATTTCTCTAACTTAAACTTTTTTTTTTACTTCACATTTCTAATATACATTTTATAATATATAGTTTTTAATTAAGAATTATGTTTTATTTCAACTTTACTTGGGTAACTGAAAACGAATACATTTGTAGTTTCGGGTTAGTGAATTGTTACATCACTAATGCATGTATCAAGACTTCTGCCGGTATCAACTATTCTTGTTGCCAATCATTGTTGAAGCTTTTCTCACGATATTTACTTAAGCTCCAAAAAGCTTTAACACAGTGGTGCTCAACCCTGCTTTAGAAAATCTACCTTCCTGCAGATTTCAGCTGCAACCCTGTTCAATCACACCTGAAACAATTAATTAGGACCTGAACAGTATTTAAAGTAATTACAGGCTGGTGTGTTTGATATGGGTTGGAGCTGAAATCTCTAGAAACAGGATTGAGCACCCCTGCTTTAACAATTATTATAATATTTAGAGTAAATAAATGTTTTAAACAAATTAAACTGCAAAAGCATGATGAAGTACAATAGGTTCCACTTCACAATGAAGTCCTATTAGTATAGGCTAATTAATTAATAAAATCAAAATGTTAAAGTTTATAAAAAATACAATTTAATTCATTAGTTATTAACTCCCCTTGATAAAAACATTATTATATATTATACATTTAACTAAGAAATTAACATCACCTAAGATTAATAAGTGAGTGCTCTGAATCAGGCTCAGGCGTGATTCAGTTGGCCGGCCCAGGCCCGGTTGGAAGAGGTGTGTCAGAGCACGGTTCACTTGGGCTTTGGCGTGTTACGCTTGTAGTGTGAGGGCATAGTGCGCCTGAGCCTAAAACTAAAGACAAGACATCACTTTTACGGGGCTGTTTCATTTAGATTTATTAATCATTCTTCATTTTCAATGAACAAAACTGTCGTAATTTATTAAAGACGCAAACCCATCGATGCGTATCCGCTGCACCTTCAGGACACCCCCTATTATCTGCAGCAGGAGGACTTTTATGATAATTTATGAGCGTCAAAAATGGTTGATCTGGTCAGCAAAATATTTGACTGCATGTCACTGCTTCACAAAAAATAAAAATAATACAAAATGATATAACTAAAGCAATCGCCACTGAGCTGAGCGAGAGTGCTTCTCTTCCTGTTAAACTGAACAGTCGCATCATCAATGATGTAAGCATGCTTTGGTCCGGTTAGTAAAAATACGATGTGAGTGCAGGCCGAGGGGGAGAGGGCATGGGGGACAATCGCACTTGGGCACAGTTCAAGGCAATTGTACCTAATGTGAGTGCGCCCTAAACTGTGATGTTTTAAAAACATGGCGGGGGAAATGTCATTTTATGCAGTGCTTCTTGTCTGATCTTAAACCCACTTCATATTGTATATCTAACAGGCAGTGAAGATCGCAGATTTTTAAAGAAAGCAGATCTTAAACGTGCCAATTTAGTAATGGAAAGACAATTCACCTGAAGCCCTTGGGCTGCCTGGCTGAAAATGAAAATTCTGTGTGCATATAGCTATTGCTTTTGTAGATGTCATTTAGGACTGCTTTTTTCCACCATTAAATTCATATATTTTATTTTCGGAAACATTTAAAATAGTTTTGCCTTTTTTATTTTAAATGTGTCATACATAATTGACTTCTGCTGTCTTCATTAGTTTTAAAAACACGGATTTCTTTACAACATGAAAAAAATCTTTTTATATCTTTCTTTTCTTTGGATAAAAATTAAGCCACTGCACTGTTCAGGTCTATAGCATGCTGGATGTTAGTGTATAAGCGACTTGTTTTTTTTGTTTTTTTTTAGTTGTTTGCTGAATCGTGGGCTGACCAGTAGCTTTTTATTTGGAGGGTCGCACAATATTTGAAAGATTTGACATTGTGATATTTTTGTTTTGTTGCAATATGAATATCATTTCACCAGATGATTTGAATAGCTCTCTAAAAGGCAATTATTCATGGTATTATTATCACAGTGCCCTCAATATCAATAATGTGCATGTTCATTATCACGCTATACTGAATTATTGAATAATGGTAAATGTCTACATTTAGGAAATAGTGTCTCCATGCTAATACGCTTTATTACAATAATGTCTTCTACCAACAGTGTGTTTTACTGATAAAATACTTGACAGAATAAATGAATAGTTGTGTTGGTCTGATCACAGAGGAGATGTCCCAGTTTGGTCTTTTGGAGCTGTCCGAGAGCCAGGGTGTTTTTGAGGAAGATGACCTGGATGGAGCCAATAAAAAAAACGTTCAGAAACCAACCAGCCAATGTATGTTTACATTTTTCTGCTCTTATGCCTATTAGTTTTCATCACAATTTAATGTGCTTCTGTTTTTTGTCTTTTAGATGTGTTGAAAAGTTCTGAAAGGGTTTTATCCAACAAGGATGGAAATTCAACCGGGCAAGACTCTTTTACATTGTTTACTAATTAATTTCTTATTTCTTATTTAAAAACATAAGCAAGTTTATGATATGAACATTCAGGCTTCATTAGTGCACATTAAGGGTGGAGCCGAACCCGAATACGGTATTCGGAAAGGCACGAATAGCGTGTTTTTACGAATACTTGATTCTAACAAATACTTGAAAAATTATTTGTATTCAGGAGCAAGAAAAACACTATATCAAAAAGCAGCGTTCCCTCATGAGACCACAGTGCATGCCCGCGTGAGTGAGTGAGTGAGTGAGTGAGTGAGTGAGTGAGTGAGAGAGAGAGAGAGAGAGAGAGAGAGAGAGAGAGAGAGAGAGAGAGAGAGAGACACGCTCAGTGCAAAACGCGCCAAAGCCCGAAACTGAAAGCGAGACGTGACTTTTAAGGGACTGTTTCATATGGATTTATTAATCATTCTTACTGTTCAGTGATCGCAAACTGCCGTAGTTTATTAAAGACGCAAACCTCTCACTGCACGTCAGCTGTGCGCCTTCAGCAGACCTCCTCATTCCTGCAGCACGAGAGCTTTATGATTGTTTATGCGCGCCAAAAGTGGCGGATCTGTCCGGTAAAATATCTGACTGCGTGTCATCGCATCCCTAAGGACTGTTTGGCGAAATATTTGACTGCATGTCACTGCATAACAAACGACTGAAACGATATAACTAGAGAAATCTCCACTGTGCTACTGTGCGAATGGCAAGCCGTTTTAGCATTTAAACCTTGTTGAGACTATCCATAAATATATTTAGAGATATCTCTAATTATATTTTGACTTGTCATAATTATAATTCAGATTGGAAATATCTGCAAATATATTATGACTGACTAGTCATATTCCTCCATTGACTTCCATTGAAAAATATTTGCAGATATCTCTAAATAAACAAACAAACAAACTTTGTGTCTGTTTTGTGGCAGGCAGATGATAATAGCAGGGCTGTATCTTTTAGTATTATATAGAATACTTTTGTTCTGCCAGATCTCCCAGGCAGGGTTTTATTTAGATTTGTTTAGTTAATTTTAGTTTTTGGAATTCTGTGCATTGGAAAAAAGTTCTTTCGGAAGAAGAACAGTTTTTTGAAGTATTATTTGTTTTTATTCTGTCTATTCAGTGTCCTTAAACAAGAACGGTGGTGGTGGGGTTCATAATATTCACAATGGTATTTTATTAGTTGTTGGTTTAACCATGGATGAGATAATGGCTTCTATGTTATTTTCTTTTCAATGACATTTCTTATCACATGTTCAAAAACAACAGCCAATATTGCATATCTATAATTTATATAATGGGTATAATTAAACAATACTTTCACTATAACGTAAATTAGAAGTGTAATAGAAAAAAATATATATTTCTGCGCCATTTTGAATTTTACTCGAATACAAATACAAATACAAATACTTTTCCCCCTCAACAAATACAAATACAAATACAAATACCGGCTGCTGCGCACATCCCTAGTGCACATAATGCTGGAGTGCTTTCAGTATGTATGGAAACAATCAATTTGAAGTAATTGGGCAGTTTTACCAAACGATAGCTTGACAATTATTGTTTTCCCTTTTTATTTTAAGAATTAAATTGTGTTGGTCTTTTAGGTCAGAAGTCACTTCAAGCTGTCCTTTAAAGCCTCAGGATGGGGAAAGCAGAAAGCTCAGTATTCAGGCTATACTTCACTCTCAGTTACCTGACAGTCAAGAAGATGAAGAGGATGTGCTTGTTTCTTCTCAGGATGACATGTTTGAAAAGGAGACCAATGGTGTGTAGTTATGTTTTCCACTTTCTATTTTTTTTACAAAAATGTATCATTGGGATAAAATTAAAGTGATTTAGCACAAATTGAACTGCAAAATTACATCTAATGTAAAATATTTGTATATCGGTAAAATTTTGTTATTTTTATTTATTTATTCTCTATCATTAAGATAGGAAGTTATTATTATGTAATATGTTTTATCTATATGGATCTTGCCATAAAATAGCCCTTAGTTGCTGATGTGGCAATAAATATACAAACTCAAAATCTATTTTTGTTTCTTGTTCTTTCCTAATTAAGTTTTTCTTTTTCTTTTTTTATTGGAACATGTTGACTAACAGGCACCAAGGCTGACAGCAGTGTTTCAGAGCACTTGCCAACATCCACACCTGCACAAAGTCTGCGCCTGCTTCATCTGTCTGGACAGGGTACCTATGTACAGGAAAGTCTTTCACAGTAAGTGTTTTAGCCTGATTTATTGTATTGTGAATTAGAGCTGAGCCGATAAACGATATTATATTTTTTTAAAATGTGTGTCGATAACAATGATAAACGCTGGACTTTTTTACTCTATATTTATCTAAAAGGAATCTAAAAGTATGTTGATATTAGGTATGCACTGAATTTTCGGCCACTGTAAATTTATCAGTTAAAAATATGTTATGCCAATAAATAGACCCTCTAATTTTTGTGGCTTTAGGTATTGTTGTGATACTCTTTTAAATCTGGAAACATTGTAAACTTGTATCAAGATATATATCGTTATCGTTCAATATAGAAGATAATCCGACCCGCTAGTTTTTCATGATACCTCAATCGCTGAATCCAACGCTAAATCGACAAAAAAAACACACATTTTTTCAATCCTGCAAAATTAATTAAACGCAAAATAATCGCAAAAAATGTAAATAATCTCATAAAAATATCAAGTTCGAAACCATATAATCAAATTATATTTATTTCAGTTTGCAATTAATTGTTTTACATGACTTATTGATGTTGCATTCACTGAGCACATGATTTATTTGAGTGTCTCTCGAAAAATGACATCTCACCTGCGCCCTCACAATCCAAACATTACATGGAAGTTCGTAGATGAAAATAAAAGTTACAACCTTCCTTTGGCTTAATCCCTACCATTTTAGATTTTTAAATAAAGATCATTGTCATTGTGTGAAATTGCACACCTAACATAGTAGGCTAACTAATATGGTTAAAAAAATTATAATAATGAATATATATATATATATATATATATATATATATATATATATATATATATATATATATATATATATATATATATATATATATATATAATTGCAAAATTGTCTGCAAATTTCTGGGAATTACCACCACAAAAGTCATTTTTATTGAAAATCACAAAAAGAAGTCATGAAAAATAGAGGGTCTGGATGTTTGTCGAGATTGCATTTTTGCCTAATCGCCCAGCCCTATTGTGAATAGAGGTTAAAATAAAGCATTTTTGTTACATACTAATAATCAATGATGTTATATATTCTTTTACCTAACAAAGGTTAACATGCTGTATGGTCTTACTGGACTGTTTAAAGTATTACAGAGATTAAATAATTTATTACATACATTAATATCTCTCTGACACATTAAAAATTATAATTAATCATCACTCGTTCTTAAAGGAATAGTTCACCCAAAAATAAAAATACTGTCATCTCTTGTTCCAAACCGGTTGGAGTTTGTTTTTGCTGTTAATTACAAAAGGAGATATTTTGAAGGAACTTGCAAAGTAGGAAAAACAAATAATATGGAAGTTAATGGTTACAGGTTTTCAGCTTTCTTCAAAATGTCTTTTGTGTTCAACTGAAGAAATATCACTCATAAAGGTTAAAAATCACTTAAGGGTGAGTAAATAGTGAGCATTTTTTCATTTTAGGGGAACTTTTCCTTTAAGAATAAAAATAAATTGAATTAAAAAATGGCTTTTGTTCCTTTTGTCAAATGTTGTTGTTGTTGTTATACTGTACTCTTTAGGCAATCTGTTGACTTTGTGGCAGCCACTCAGGACAATTTAAGCCAAACACCGTACATTGTCCCAAATTCTCCAACAGAAAAAGACCAAAGTAAGTTTATTTACCATACAAGTAAGGCTTATGTGTAGTATGTTTTAATTCATTCACAAATGTTCCTCTTAGATTGTAATGAAACTGCTGAGTCTCCAATGGACACATCAGCCCCCCCTGAGGACCAACCACAAGGGAGAGAGGAGGAGCCGATGGACACAGACCCCTGTCCCAAACCACAACCCACAGCCTCTACTCCAGTGTCCCAGAATTCCCCTGGATTCATTCTGGAGAAACGCCTCTCTGTCCCCAGCCAGCCTGAATTCTCACATGTAGGCATCAATTATTCAGAGTGGTATAATCATCTGGGCAAAAACAGTCATTTTGATTGGAATTTATGCAGTTTGGAATTCTGAATGTTGTGTGAAAACCCTGATATACAGTTGAAGATATTAGCCTTCCTGTGAAATTTTAATATCAAACATTTAGCAAGTGAGATTTAACAGAACAAAGACATTAAGCACAGTATTTCCAATTATATTTTTCTTCTGTAGAAAGTTTTATTTCATTTAAGTTGGCTAGTATAAAAACATATATGTATATTTTAAAAACATTAAAACTGTTAAGATCATTATTATTATTATTCAGGGTGTCCGTGGGGTCTTAAAATGTCTTAAATCTCAAAAACAAATTTTAAGGCTTTAAAAGTCTTAAATTTACTGAAAGTGTTTTAATTCTTAAATCTTTCGTAAACGGGTCTTAATTTTCCTTTACTCATATTAAACTACCCTATCGGGTCATTAACACCCATCCAATCACCAACAATCTATCTCAAATGTTTAACTTTTTATTTAAGAATGTCATTTTTAACTCTATTAACTATAATGGTTTAATTATTTTCCTTTAAAACAATAACGATAACATTTGTTTAAAAGTTCTTCATGTATTTACTGCTGAGGACATTGACCTGGACAGACTGTTGTGCAGTCTGTATAGTTTTATTTTTATGTGTAGTATAACACATTTATTTTATTTTTAAGAAAGGTAATGTTAAAAAAGTGTATGCATCAATCCAGGGCTTGCTTGTTTTCACACAATATTAAAATATTTTGCTCAAAATTAACTAAATATATATTTTTTGTAATTATTAAATAAATTACTACTGTATTTTTAAATGTATTAAATTATATTTAAATAGTTTGATAAGGCAAATAAAAATCTTTTCCAACTGGGCCATTGGAAAATCTCTTTACTCGTGTATGAGTCTAAAGTTTCATTCATAATCGGGGTGTCCATCTAGGTCTTAAAAAGTATTAAGGTTGATAAATCAATTATGAGAAAATTAAGGCTTTTAAAGGGTATTAAAAAATCTTAATCCAGTCTTAAATTTTTGTTCAAGCTTTGTCCAAAGTGTTTGACTTTAAAAAAAGCATGAATTTATTTATTTACCTCCCAATATTAACAATGCCTTGCTCGATCCATGCGATTGGTTCAGGCCGGGGCATGTCTGGCCGAGCTCCTCCAATCCAGGTGATTTCTTGTAATTTGTGACAAACGCGGGAAGGTGAAGTGACGCTCTTCACATGTAGCGAAACCATAGAATGAAACATACGGCAAAATGGATAAATGTAAGATTGCGGACTCCTGGTTGGAGAAATGAAATGTGTATTTATAAAGTGCATTTATAGTGTATGGCCATACACCCAAAGCGCTTCAAAATCATGAGGGGGGTCTCTCCACACCACCACCAGTGTGCAGCATCCACTTGGATGATTCTACGGTAGCCAGTGCTTCACCACACACCAGCTATAGATTGAAGGACTTTGGCCAGGACACCGGGGTTACACCCCTACTCTATACGATTACTTACCTTAGTTTAACGACTCATCCGAAAGATGAGTTTAAACAGTGGCTGAAGCCTGTTGCTGAAAACAACCTAATTTATTCTTTAAAGCTTTGTTTATCTGAGCTTATCTGAGTTCTGTTGCATGGTTGTGCTGAATTGATTTATTTAACTACAATGGTTTATTAACAACTGTTTAATAACTTAAAGGTTTGACACTGATTAGAACATGAAGTGGCGATGAGTTCTTAAAATATTCTGAGAAGATTTTCTCAGAAGAAGTCTTAAAAAGTAATGTAATGTAATGTGTTTTTAAATAGCGCATTTATTGTGTATGGCCATACACCCAAAGCGCTTCACAATCATGAGGCGGGGTCTCTCCACACGACCACCAGTGGTATTGAGATTACCTTTACGATTTCTGGATATACCCTGATGGTCTTAAAAAGTCTTAAATTTAACTTGCTGAAACCTGCAGAAAGCCTGTTATTTAACCCCCTTAACTATTTTTTGTTTGAATGCTGTTGTCCTATGACTTGCCTAATTAACATAACTTAGTTAATCAATTAACTTAGTTTAGTTCAAATAAACAAATTTGCAGAAAGTTTGTGCTTTGTTCATCCATCTCATTCCAATTTCATTTACAACACTTCTCTGTGTTTTCTCATTGTAGGATGTGTTTATTTCCACTCCAAGTCTTGAACCTGTGAACAATAATCAAGGGACTGAAGCTTCAAAGAGGCAGTTGCCTCACCCAAACTGCACATCAGCAACTGAATCTACACCTCCTAAACCGAGCAGCCCAGAGGAGCAGCTAAATAAGTCTTCCAGCAGCTTCTCACAACCTTGTGAAGCAGCCGAGGACTTTCAGCTGGAGCTCAGCAGTGAAAACAGCTGTTTTGCTCTGAAGACTCAGTCGTTCATCGTGGAGGAGGACAGCCAAGCCACACAGATCCAAGATCAAGGTACTGTTGTGACCGACAAAAGTAACTCAAGCCCCAAACCCCATTCCCAAAATGAAGACAAGAACAGCACTGACTCCGAGCCTAGTAAAGCATCAAATTCCAATGTGCCTGACTCCAAAATAACAAGTGCTGTCCCCGAAAAAGCAGAAGACCTAAACATCTCTCAAAAGCTCAACAATGGAGGAAACCAGATTGCAAATGCGACTCCGGGTGCAACTCTGTCCCAACTTTCTGTCAGTTCAGAATGCGTTTCAGCAACCCCTAATTTACCACAGACCAGCAAATCTACAGACGCTGGCTGTCCTCAAGCCTCACCGTTAACTGACAAACCAGCAACCCCAGTTCCTGTTGCACAACACACTCAGTCTCAGTCAGTCTTAACAGCGTCATCCCAGAAAAACACTGGCAACAAAGAAAAACATGATGGTCAAAACCAGAGACTCAGTCAGCCTATGCTACACAGCCACAGTGTTACTACAGACAGTGTTAGAAACGTAGAGGAGGAGGAGCAGATGGAGGAAGGTGAGATTAAGAGTACAGTGAAGGGGGATGACACTGGAATAAACCTGGCTTTGTCTCAGAGTCAGGCTCTTTCTCCAGAACCCATGGAGGAGGAAGAGGAGAAAGGAGAAGCCAGCATCAGATCGTCTAGCAGAGAGGAGAGCTTCAGTGTGATGGTGCTGGAAGAGAGCCAGAGGGTTTCTCAGGAGAAAGTGCAGAAGGGGAAATCACCACCGTTCAAAAGCTCCTTGCAGCCTGTGAGTGGCTCCATACAGGACAAACCTGAAGCCCTGGCAAAGATCTCTGGGTCTCAGCCAGTGAGTTCAACTAAGGTTTCACCTCTCCGGCTTGAGAAAACCAAATCGCAGAACACACAGCCAAGTAGTTCAGGACAACAGAAAGTGAACTCAGACAACGCAGCCAACAAAAGTCTGAGTGACAGCTCTGGAGGTGGGATTAAGACACAAACAAACGATCTATTATCTGTGCTGATTAACTTACTTGTGTTCAGGAAATCCAGCTAGCTGATTTCTTTTTCTTTCCTGCTCAGAGCTTCCGTTTCACTTTACACTGCCCAAAGAGGGTGAGCTGATCCGGCCTGCAGTGAGTGCTACTCCTCCACAAATTAGTCTGCTGAAAAAGACACCAAGACACAGCACTCCTATTGGTGAGTCTTTCTTTTTATTCTCTAACATTTGGGTTTAAATGTACGTAATACCAGACTGAAACTGCACACCCTGCCTTCTAAGCTCCTATTTGTGGTGAAGCATCTTTCTTTTTTTTGAACACGTACTGATGTTTTGCAGAGATGAACTCATTCTCAGAGCCGTCAGTGGGCGACGTTACCAGGGAGACAATGGCAAACAGTGAGATTTCCGTGGAGGAAAGCAGAGAGGGCGAAGAGCCAGTGGCAGCAGAGCAGGATGGGAAACTGAGTCTCCGAATGAAGCTGGTGACTCCAGTAGAGGAGGGCAGCTCAGGCCCAGAGTGCTTCAGCCTGCAGAGTAAAACCTGTTTTGTCATTGTTTTCCAACACGCATACATTTTTACTCACCTGCGCACATTAATGAAACAGAATTTTCATTATGTAATTATAATGATATTGTTTTAATTATATACTTTAATTTAAAGTTTTGGTATGAAGGAGACCACTTGAAATTTCACTTCTCTATTTCTCTAAATTGTCTGACTTTATTAAATATATATTTTTTTGGTTTAATTATGGAAAGGTCTGAACATTTCTTTGAAATTTCTAAAATATTGTCATCTAGAGATTTATTTTTCCCAGAACATGACATTTGGTCTGAATAACAAATATTGTTGTTGGTGAAATCCAACCTGGTTAAGATCAGGTTAAGGGTTTCAAAATGCTCACGTTTATATCACAATGCTTAGATACAAACGCATATACAGTAGGGTTTCATGGTTTACCGGTACTGTGAAAGTATCGCGGTACTAAGGCTCAAAAATTTTGCCTGTGCCACTGTAGTTTGTAAGCGGTAGCATAGTCATTATTTGTTTATTTACAATAGATTATGTTGGATGTGGAAAACTCACTAAAGTGCTCACAGGTTTGTGCAACAATAAACCTTTTTATTTGAATAGTGTGTAAGGCCCTTTAAGGTTACAAAACTGTAGAATTCACACCTTTTATAGTAGCCTATTGCATGTAACGCTTCGGTTCGAACACACATTTTAATCGATTCATTTCTGTTCCTGTAAATATGATTTAGTAGCTCTCTTAAACAATCTCTTAAAAACAACGACTAACAAAGTGAAATTTTAAATATCTTTGGATTTGTTACATTAGAAAATCCAAAATAGCAACAGGAAACTTTGACCACTTCATATAGCCTAATTTTGTTGAAAAACATGCTTTTTTTGTAACAAATTTGATTTGGTATAATTTGTATCCTAATTTTAATGTATTTTTGTTGGTGAGTTATCTACAAAATAAACTAAAAGAATGAATACATTTGAGCTAAAGTGGGGTGCAAATAATACTTTTTGGCCTAAAGAGAATTATGAATATATACAAGTAGGCTTATTATAACATAAAATATAGTATTTCTGACCATTTTCTTTTTAATTTGAGTTCTGAATTACAGAATCGCAATGCCACTTGGTATCGTGATACTTAAGCTGGCGTAGTATGGTAAGATTAATTAATGGTATCGTGACAACCCTAATATACAGTCAAGCCTGAAATTATTGTTCTCTGTTAACCCAGAGGTTATGAACTGCTTGCCCCTGAAAGTGTGTAGTGCAGCAAACAGCCAATCACACGATGGAAGAGAGGATCTGTTTTAATGATTTCTCTCAAGAAAGTTGTAGATTTGTTGAAGATTAAGAGAGATCACTATTACTTTTAAACATGATTTAAATACATGTATGAGGCAGAAATTAAAATCTGATGCTGCAAAAGTTTGAGAAAGAACTTAAAGGGGTGGTCCACTATGATATCATATTTGAAACTTTAGTTAGTTAAAAAAAATACTGCTATTTCCACAGAGCTTCTTCTATTTCTGTATTTGGGCTTTCATAGGGCAAGACACAAAGACAGAAGTGCTTACAGTTCAATATTAATTATGTTCCAGAGAATTATAAAACACATAGCAAGCATGATTTGACAAAACCCAGCTTTCAAAATCTCTCCCAGTTCAGTGCTGGATTCTGTTAAAATCTCCTCAAAGAAGGACCAGCTCCAACAAGCAGAAGCTGTGGACTGTGAGCCACAACCTGTAAGTGTTTTTATTTGTTAAAATTGATTATGATATACACAGTGTCTAGCATTAACTGTATGCTGTAGCAAAGATGTAAACTACAGGAAATGCTGTTTGGCACCACTAACAATTTAGCTACAAATTGATATTTATCAGTCAAACTGCTGTAAACACACACACTCTTCACCAGCGCTGCAGTGGCTCTTTATAGGCTGCTTTTCCATGCGTTCTACATCTCAGATAATGAACTCGCAAAAGATATGTGAACGATTCATATTACTTTCCCATACATATTCCAAATACATGTGAAATATATGTGTCCCGCACACATGCGCTTCTCTTGTTACATGCATCTACAGACAATACACACACACAAACACACACTGGCGATCTCTCTCACACACTGGCGATTTTTCACTTGTTAAAGACACTTTCCAGATTTTATTTTAGAGAGCGGTTGACTAACTGTTTACACAGCACAAAAGCATGTGCTTGTAGGGGCGTGACGTGGAGCCGATCCGGGACTCACAGCACATTATGATAGATGACCAATCAGAGTCACATAAGGCCGGGCCTTTCGGAGGAACTAAGAAATATGACAGTCGTTTTCATGTTAGCAGAGTAGCTGAATATAATCAGCAATCACAATCAAGCCTTAAAATTACATTCTGGACAACCCCCTCAAAGCAATCATTATATAAATGCAAATCAATCAAAATGTTAATAAAACAGGTTCACCGACAGCTCTAAAGATGGGGGAAAATGCTTGATTACTCAAGCCTAAAATTACAGATTTATAGTGATATTTCTCCAAATTTGTGTCAATATTGGAATTTCTTATGTGGTTTTGCTGTGAAAATATACACAAATGTACACATCTTAGTTCTTCATTACTGTTTCTAGAATTCTACAAAGGGAAACTGAGAAAAAAGACATATTTGATACATAACTGACTAAACAATCAAAATCAGAACAAAACTCAGAACAAAACAGTTAAAATCACTTCAGCAAAGCATTAAAAAACATTTATAAATGTAACACAACAAATGTAGCCTTATTCAATTAGGCTTTGGCTAAATATGGTCCAAAGTGGATCACACCCCTCAGGAGAATCTCAGTGCTTGAGGTATTGCACAACTTGAAGTGTTAATACAATTTTATTTAACATAAAACATTGCAGATGGCACAGAAAGAAGTTAAACCTTGTCCTGGCTGGCCAAAATCTGCATAAAATCTGTAGTTATTTGTAAAAGTTGTAATCTTTCTGTTTGTTCTAATCATCATAGGTCATGGGAATTCAGCTTTTTAGACAGTGGAAGGGGATTTGACGTTTCACAGAGGGAACCTTGAATATTACTTATAAAAAATATCAGATCAATTTTGTTTTAAATGATGAAAATATTTAAATGCTTAAACATGTAAAATTATTTCTCTATACATGCACTCACCAGCCACTTTTGTTAGGTACACCTGTCCAGCTGTTTGTTAACACAAATTTGTTATCACCCAATCACATGGCAGCAACTCAATGCATTTAGGAATGTAGAAATGGTCAAGATGATCTGCTTCAGTTCAAACAACAGAATTGGGAAGAATGGAGATTTAAGTGACTTTGAAGGTGGCATGATTGTTGATGCCAGACAGACTGGTCAGAGTATTTCAGAAACTGCTGATCTACTGGGATTTTCCCGCACAACCATCTCTAGGGTTTACAGAGAATAGTCTGAAAAAGAGAAAATATCCAGTGAGCATCAGTTCTGTGGGCGCAAATGCCTTATTGATGCCAGAGATCAGAGGAGAATAGCCAGACTGGTTCCAGCTGGTAGAAAGGCAACAGTAACTCAAATAACCACTCGTTGGAACCGAGGTATGCAGAAGAGATTCATATCTGCGTGATGCTATCATGTAAATATGGACCAAAATCTTTGAGGAATGTTTCCAGTACCTTGTTAAATCTATGCCACGGCAAATTAAGGCAGCTCTGAAGGAAGCTCTGAAGGGGGTCCAAAAGTACTTGTAAGGTGTACCTAATAAAGTGGTCAGTAAATGTATACATCTATTTATACAACCACAGAACACTTGTAAATTCTCAGTTTTAGAGTTTTTTTTTTTTTTCCATAAATATTTGAGATTTGGATAAAAGCTTATCAGACCTATCTAGAATAAAACAAATACTAACGTTTTACTGAGAAAACTGAGAAATGTGTATGATCTCTTTCATAATAAAACTAGAAATGATTAGCTATTGTTAATTTATAACCCATTATTCACCACAACCCATTTACGCTTGATTTTTAATGCTTTCACAGAGCCGTCATTAACAGATGAAGAAGGATCTGTCTCCAAGGCTACTGCTGTTGCCATGGCAGTAACCAGGTAACCTGCTGTGGTTGCTATGCAGAAGCTTATCTGTGGAATGGATGTGTTTTTGTGCTGTCACTCACAGTTGCTGATTCACTGCCTTCGTCTTTTTAACACAGTTCCTTAATTATGCCTCAGGGCTGCTTTTTATTCAAATACTGGACAGAACTGCAGATTTTAGAGTTCATTGTTGTACTGTGCTCTCTTTCCTTGTCTGTCTTACAGTCCGTCTGTCTTTAGTCGAGTTCGGGAGGTGCACAGACAGACACAGGTAGAGGACGATGCAGAGTCCAGTGATCCTCTCATCAGGTATAACACTGATCTAAATAAGAGTAATCTCACATCTAAATCATGACCTGCTGTTTATTAGAGTTAAAAATATAATGTTTGGGTTGTAATGTCGTGCTGGTTTTCTTGATGTATTTAATTATGTGCTCTCTCTCGAGGCTCTCTAATGTGGGGTTGTGACTGAATATGACTGTATTTGAATATGAAAA